ATCTGACTGTTGCTCCTAGTTGCCGACCTCGAATTAAGCACCGTCGCTCTCATCGGTAAACGTGCAACCATCAAAGGCTGGCCCTCGGGTCATGCCAAAGACAGTGAAGAGGCAGTTGCATTCGCCAAGAAGCATAACATCAAGGCGTTGGTTGAGAAGTAAGTTTTGTGCCGCTCTCTGTGCCGCTGGTTTTTCTCATTCCAATCGTCAAGGTTCCCTCTGGCACAAGCCAATGAGGCTTTCAACAAAATGCAGAGCGGACAGGTCAAATTCCGTGCTGTTATAACTCCTTGAAGACTTGTCCTTGATCGCTAGCCTTCGCTATACCTATTAGACTTTTATGACTCATGTTAATACCCGGATGTGCTGCAATTGCATGTAATTAGATACGAGTTGTTGTTTTCAAATACGATCATTTTATGTTTTCGATGGGGGGTGCTTGTATCAACTTGACTCTTTTTTTCTCGTGTTTGGAACATGTAATTAGATCGGAATAATCGTCGCCTTTTTCAGCATGAAGGTGTTAGTGAGTATATCTCGGGGAACTTATTCTTTATTCTTCCTTCTTTCAGCATCGTGAACTTTTGTGCAATCATCACCCATCTTCGACCTTTCGAATGGAGACTCAGCATTTTCCATCTCTCAGAATCTTTGATAAGGTATACGGAAGTGCAATGCCATTGGAAAGTGTGTATTCTGAAGGAAATCTATTTTACAGCTTGAACTTCTAATGACCCACGACATTCAATGGGCGATATCTTTGAACGACGGGATCAGAGTCATGAAAAGATTGAGATGTGATTGCAGACTTACAGCTCCTCAAGGTAAGCGACTTCGTTAGGTGAGAGCCTCTTGTCCCCAATGATTGCTTCATCTACTCTTTCGGGCTACGAGAGAAACCACGGATAAGCATAACAAACGACAAAGGCTGTATGTGTTCTTACCTTGTTCATGCCAACAATGGGGCTAGAGACCTTGGTGAGGATCCAGGCGAGCGCAACCTGTGCCATGGACCACTTCTTGTGCTCTGCGACTTCGGCTACACGACCGACGATAGCCTTGTCAGTTGAAGTGAGGACTCGGTCGAAGCCGGTACCCTTGAGGGCTTCGTTTCGTGGTGTAGCTGTACCAAGAGGACGAGCAAGATATCCTGGGGTATCTCGTGTTAAGTATCTCGTGGTACACAGATGAAGATGACGAAACGTACCTGCGTGAAGTGGACCCCAAGGTATAACACCTATGCCGGCGAAGTTGCAATAGGCAAGCATCTCCCGTTCCTATGTAGCCACATCAGATTGTATTCATAATATACATATATCAAGCAAGTTAGCGTACTTCCTCGCGATACAGAAGACTGATAAACTTTTGGGTTAATCCTGAAACATGACAATGTGTCAATAGCTCACCTCATACGATTTTGCATGCTGATGAACTTGCTCCATCCGTTCTTCTCCGCCACGTTGTTCATCATCTGGAACTGCCATGTCCACATAGAACTAGCACCCAAATACCTCACTTTTCCCATTCTAACAAGATCGTGTAGAGCTTCCATGGTCTCTTCCACGGAGGTATTGGCATCGAATCGATGTATTTGGAGGAGGTCAATGTAATCAGTTCCAAGACGCTTCAACGACGCATCTACTTGATTGAATATAGCTTGACGGCTAAGTCCTGACTGGTTCACGTAGTCTCGAGTGTTTTTGAGGTAGCCCATGGCAAAAGTGTTGGCAGAGCTTTCTTCGTGGGTCAAAAAGTAGCATTTGGTGAGGATGATGAGACGCTCTCGCGGGATGTTATACTGCGCAGAGAAATTTCATCTTGAACATCCCATACTTGGCAAAAACACGGCGTAACGGTTACTTACTTGTTTGATAGCCTTGCCGATAATTCCTTTCAGGCGGGTTAGTGAATATAATCTGCTTCTCTGATCGAGTATCACCTACTTTCGGATTCGCCATCTGAAAAAAATCATCCTGATCAGATATACTGCCAAGGAAAATTAAGAGATACGCACTGGAGTAGACATTGGCGGTATCCCAAGTGTTGACTCCTCTGTCCCAAGCATGCTTTAAAAGCGGCAAAGCTTGCTCCTCGCCTAACGGCCAGCCCTACAGGTCGTGGTCAAGATTGGTTATGACAACCGGTGGAAGAGAACGAAACTTACATTCCAGTTAGGGTCCCCGATACTGCACACAACCCATTTATAATGAGTAGTGTTTCTGAACATTTTCAACCGCCAAACTCACCTCATAGCGCCAAGGATAGGCACACTGACTCTCAAGCCAGATCTACCGAGTTGCCTGTATTCGATTTTGAGGGCATTGGTGAGGGACATGTTGGTGGACAACGTAGAATTTGCTAGATTGCAGCCCCATACGCAAACACCGTATAAATACCACGGATGCATTATCGCAATGCCATCTCACGACCAGATGGGTTAAATTGGTTTGCTTACTACTCCACCGCCCAAAAAGGACGATAACAACGCGAATGTAATATTTCAGGAACTGTCCGGACTCCGCTTCACGTCCCGAGGAGGGACCGTTAGTCAGACCCATCAGATGGGTATCATGGGGTAAGTACATAGGCTGTTCACATCGGGAGCACATCACCCTATTGTTTGTCATCGATGAGGTTTGACCAGATTTGACTATCCCGGGCGGGAACCACGGGATATGAAGAGTTTTGACTTGAACTCCGAGGCTTGAATCCCATTAATCGGAAGCAGTTTACTTGCTCCAGAGGCGAATCAGACCTACGGAATTGTGTGTCTCAACAGCGATTACCACTCCGGCAAAGCGAGTGTAATAGGCGAAACTGCTGACTAACTGGGCGCCTATTCAATTGTGTTGTGACGAAAGTGTCTTTGCGTCGATTTATTATAACTCTTACCTAGTAAGTACCATTGTTAAACTTTGGTGAGAGGACGTGACATTTGACAGTTTGCATTTACCTGATTGCAGGACATCAAAGTTATTGTCGCACACGTTCCGATAGTGCAGAGTAATGACATCCAAATAGATGAGGATGTTGACATTGAGCTTATCTAAAAACTTCATTGACAAAACCTCCATGAGAAGCAGCGGGAGCGTTGGTGAAATTAAAAGGCATGGTCCTCCACTTGTACAGATAACGAATACACCAAGCATTCATGTCAAGGGGAATAAGGTTAGTTTGCTCCCAGTCCATAAGACCAACAATCTTGGCGACGTTATGTGCAAGTGCAATGATCTAGGTAAAAAGAGTAGGTGCAGTTCGGACAGTGCACGAACCATGGTACGAAGATGAAATCTCGGAAGGGAATTTTCCTTCTCCAGAGTTTGTGCAAACGATGAACGATGTTGTATTCGACTATACCGCTTGTGGTCTGGTTGAATCCGAATGAATATTTCGCAATCAAACGTCTGTGAAACAAAGTAGACTGCCTACTCTCCACTCACTGGTTGGCCAGAATCGTCTTTGGCTGCCCACATCTCTTCCTGGGAATGAGTGAGGGTATGATTCAAGGTAAAATATGCTCTTTCCGTCTTGGTTTCATGCATGGATGGAACGATGTTGCCCGGAAGAGCTCGAGTAAAAGCGACCTTGGTTAGGTGTATCTCGTTATGCTTGAGCTGAACGATGATAATACAAACATCTTCCAATAGCGCTATAAAAGTGAAAGCCAGGAGAAAGAGCCATCGAAATGCGCTCCCTGGTGAACGAAAGACTCCTCTGCTAGTCATAGACGCGATCCTTGAACGTGCAATGTCCTTCAATCGTGGCCTTGGCATCTGCAAGAGCTTGCGGTTAAGTGACTCTCTCAAGATTCACAGGCATTTCGGTTTTCAGACCGTGCACTAAAGGGTACTTGACGCGAAAGTACTCCGCTGACCACGACGTTAACCATGTTGGGATGGGATTTGATTGTACGCCTGTCATAGTAGCACACATAGTATGTACTCACCTTACTTCGCACAAGATGACTCCAAGAGATATAATTATGCCAATATTACTCTAAACAATCAACTCTCCCTCCACACTCTCCCGTTCTAGACCGAGCTGTTCTAACAAGGTTTCGTAGCGCTCGTTACTCTTGCGCCTTAAGTATCTCAATATCTTTGCCCGATGGTGAACAAGTTTTCTTAATCCGAGACGGTTGCCTAGATCTCTAGGAAATTTCGCCAAGTGACTTCCGAGATTTCGTATTCGGTATGTGAGGATGGCAGCTACGATTCTGCATCAGGACCGTGCGGACTTTGTGATAATGGGTACCGCACCTTGAACCTCTGTACGACCAGGGTCAAACTGATTCTCCGGAGTAGAAAAAGCCAGTATGATCCTCCGCTTGTTTTCATACGCAATTCCATCTGAATCCGCATTCCTCAAATCAAGAACCTTTGCAAATGTATTTGCTTTTCTATTCTCCCTTTCTGCTACCCTTTCTGCCCAGACTGCGAAAGGTTCATTCTCAGAACCTTTGTCCGACCCTCTTGTACGCATAGAGAGCTCAGGCAACTGGCGAAAGAGCTTTTCTGCGTCTGTATCCGTCACACCAAAGCCCATTTGCGAAGGCAGCTGGACGGTGCCAACAGGGAGTTCTACGGCAGTCATTTGTGGAGGACCAGACAATTCAGCCTCATTAACGAGTATTTGGGCCAAGTAACATTTGTCCCATTTATATTCCTCGCCCTTTCGCGTGCCAAAGACAGGACTGGGTAGGTTGGCATTGATACGTCGCCACTTTTCGGCTTTGATTTCAGCTTTGGCTTTGCTTGTGAGCTTTTGTGTTTTTTGGGCGTTCAGGACGGCGGATGTATGAAGGAGAGAAGATGTGCTCGGGGACGCGAACCTTGAAGAATCTAGGAATCGAGGCATGTCAACCGATGGTAGCGAAAGATATAGTGAAAAAGATACAGACTTTGCGCTAGACACGCTTTGAACATCTTGGACGTGAAGAAGAATTCGACAGGCGCTTAGATTTGAAAAGGGAGAAGACAAAAATAAAACTAAAATTATAAAGGTCTAACCAGGACTCGAACCTGGGTTATGGGAAATACCCAAGTCAAAATCCCATGTGCTAACCTCTACACTATTAGACCCCGAGCTGAGTCTATAACAGTGACCTATCATATTTTACGTTAACCTTAATGACAAGTTGTCATTGACCTTAACTAACAACTACGATATGGCCAACAGGGATCCGGAACCAAGTTCCCGCAAAGCAATTGCAAAACGTGCTTTGGAAGATGCAGATCACATTAAAAACAAGAAATCCAGGACCATGAAAGCAAAAAGAAAAGAGACAGACCAGAATTTTGATCATTGGCCTCAATATTTCCATTCGGTAAGCCTCCTTGGAACTTCTCGCGTCAAGCCCTGTGCTGAGGGCATGGATCGATAAAGCTCTTCAAGGTAATTCCTATCTCACCTCGCTTCGTAAAAGCTAAAGACATGTGAGATCAGGTGTACAAGGTATGCTCACGTTGGAATCGTATCTTGCACAGTGCCGACGCGTTTTAGGCTTTGAATACCGTGTTGGCATTTGTCACGTCGAGGAAACAGCTAGCCACCACTTTCCCTTCCATTCGATCCTCAGTTGAGAACATCACCAAACAGTAAGTCTCGGACAGTACGCGTTCACCCTCAAGCTGACTTGGTAGAAAGACCCTTGGACATGTCTCAAGTAGCTGAACTGAAGTACATCCATGTCCTTCATTGTTCGAATGGATTACTGCTGACACTCGTGAAATAGAGCCTTCCTACCTGAGATCATCACATTCGCCTATGTTCCTCGCAATCAGATTCAAGTCAACGTTTCCGCCAAGTTCAGTAAGGATGAACCCGATTTCTCTGCATTCGCGAAACATTCGAGCAAGGAGCCAGAACATGTTTTGCTTCTCGAGTTTGCTGAAAGCTGGAAAGGGGCTTCAGGAGGGACAAAGTAAATTCCATTCAAAGAGGTATTAGTTGTTGAATTTTGACAATGTATCTTGTGAACTGGCAGGGCGAGTCATAACGAATATCTAGTACCCGCAACACGAACACCGGCTGCCACGAAGAAACTTGTAGAAAAGAGGAACGACAGATTCATCAAAGCCGTAGATGAGTATGTGGACAGTCTTATATGAAGGCAAGAAAACACCACTGAGGCTAGTTTCACACAACAGATTGCTAGCAGCAACATCTTCCTGCGACGACCCAGTCTCCCTCCTGAAAGCCGCAGCTCGCGACTATATACCCGTCGATCCGGAACACATCAGTAACAATCCTTCCGTCGACGAGACTGCGCATATGCCTGTTCCAAGCTCAGAAGATCGTGTACCAGTACATGACATACTCGCCGAGCTTCAAGAGCAGCACTGGTATAAAGATCAGATCGTCGAGCGTAGGACGGTAGAACCTCGAGAAGGCCAAACAGGTCAGCTCGATAACGCGTCAATTGCTCGACGACGCAAATAACACAAATGATGCTCTTTATCCAGGTAGTTTGGACCCACTGCTATCCTCCTCCATTCAGCAAGCTTTGCAAAGCTCCAGAAACATCGAAACTTTATACTCACACCAAGCAACGGCAATAAATGCCCTGAATTCTGGCAAGGATGTGATTGTCTCCACTAGCACGGCATCTGGAAAGAGCGTAATCTACCAAGTGAGTACAAATTGGCTGTTTAATGAACTTGATTGGTTCCTGTATGTGCAGTACATCAATACTGACAATTTAATAATCTGAAGGTTCCTCTGCTTCGGCTGTTGGAAAACGATCCTCATGCAACTGCCATCTTCGTTTATCCGACAAAAGTACGCAGGATGAGATACAGGTAGCCTAAATTGTCATTCGAACTGACTTACTTATTTTAGGCTCTGGCTCAAGATCAGAAAAGCGCATTGGACAATCTTTTGAGGGCTTGTCCCGATTTAGAACATATACAGGTCTCATTACAACATAATTTGAAACTTCATTTTCCTGACCTTTATCAGGTATCTACTTACGATGGAGACACTCCTGTTGAACAAAGAGCAGGTTGTAGTTTTTGATACTCTTAGCGGTTACTCGGTTGACTTGATATCTGTGATTCTCAGGAATACGCGCATCTGCTTCAGTCATATTCACGAACTTTGTGTGTCAAGTGTTTCTCGGGTCGTCAATCAACGCTCATTTCGTGAAAGGATATGATCCATGCCGCCATTCTTCCACACGAAGAACTTTGGAGAAGGCAAGCGTCAATATACAATTCGAATCCCTTGCAATTTATTGACACAAGATTCTTCGATCCAGTTTCTTGAAAAATCTCAGAGTGTGTTGTGTGACCCTGCATATCAAGATGTCTCTTTAACGCTTGTCTCAGCTGTTTGTCGCCGATGAACTACACTACTATTCAGGGACTTTTGGAAGGTAGGGAATACCTTGTTTTCTCCTTCGCTGATTGTTTGCTGTGACCAGTCCTGATTATCACATTCTCTAGCCACGTTGCTCAAATTATGCGCCGTTTACGTCGAGTCTGTGTCGCAGTCGGAAGTACGTATGTCTCGCAGGTTCAACAGTCGTACACCTCAGTTATTTTCTCCACCCATTTACCGCAGATCATCAGGCACGGTTTGTCTCATGCAGCGCAACCATCGCCAACCCCCTCGCACACATGGTCAACATCTTTGGTCTCGACTCTTCTCAGATTCAAGTCGTTACAGAAGACGGTGCGCCTACCGGCATGAAGGAATATCTGATATGGCGTAGTCCGTATGTGGATGAACATGAACCGGCACTTGGAAGACAGAGTAGTATAGCGGAAGCTACTGCTTTGATGAGGTTCTTGATGAAGCGGGGAATTCGGGTAATACTATTTTGCAAGGTTTGACGTTTTCTGTTGGCAATTGGTAGAGTAGTTCAGTGCTAACAACCGTGACAACTGTTCGCTGAACCAGATCCGGAAAGTTTGCGAACTGGTAATTTGAGGGTTTCTCAGATATAGACCCAGCTCATAATGTTGCATAGGCCATGAAAACGCTCCGGAATGAACTCAGTAGTGAAGGACGTTATGATATCTTGGAAAGGGTGCAAGCATATAGAGGAGGTCAGTCTTTTTTGGTACCGTATTGCACATCTTGTGGTGCTTATTAGAAGGTCCGGCCTAGGATATTCCGCTGAGGTGAGTACATTGTTATGTTGCTTGGTGAAGGTGTCTCCGAATCTACTTGCAGGAACGTAGACGAATAGAGCACGACGCGTTCACCGGTCATCTCCTCGGAATCATCGCCACCAATGCCCTCGAATTGGGTGTGGACATTGGTACATTAGATGCTGTACTTATGCTGGGCTTTCCAGTCACCCTTTCGAGCTTCGTGAGCTATTGGTTATCTACGCAATGCCAATCCTAAAGATATATCACGTTCCTATAGCGCCAACAAGCAGGTAGAGCAGGTCGACGCAAACGTGATTCCCTTGCTATTTTCATTGCCGAGGGGCTTCCGATAGATCAATACTACCTGAACAATTCACATGAACTTTTCGACAAGGATACGGATGACCTACTTATCGACTTGGACAACGAAATAATTTTGGAAGGTTTGTGTCCTTGCTGGGGTGGCGAAAATTATCCTTCGTGTGACTTTACCCACTCGATATAGCTCACATCCAATGCGCTGCTCATGAAATGCCCATATGTTTTGAGGACGAAAAATACTTTGGGCCTCTGCTGAAGGAGATTTGCAAATTCAAACTGCACAGAGACGAAGATGGGTGGTAAATTTTCCCTCAATGAAATGTCTATCGAAATATTTTGATTCAAAGATTTCAGGTATCACCCTGACGGCAAATGCCTCCCATCCCCTTCGAAGCTCATATCCATCCGTATGTCTGAACGTTGTGACCATGACAACATTTTTTAGAGATTTTTCTAGGTGGCATCCAAGAGGATAAATACGTGCTTGTGGACGTAACCAAGTCTGACACATCGGCAAAGATTCTGGAAGAAATCGAAATATCTCGAGCCGTTTTCGAGGTGTACGAAGGAGGCATTGTGCGCCTTTGTTCCTAGTCCATGTTTTTCACTATAACTGAATGATTAATTTGCAGTTCATACACCAAGGTCGACCTTTCATCGTGAGTGTTACTGTCTTCTGAGACACCGAAGATGTTCATTCAAAGCAATCGGGGCGAAGGTCCAGGAAATCCATCATGATACTATGCTGGTGAAGTTGGTTCAAGCCGATGTAAATTGGATCACGAAGCAAAGGTCAGTTCTGCGTTCAGTTAGCTGTATCTACAAAACTCAAACATTTATGCAGGGATTTCACGTAAGATTTCCGTCTGGTAGCAGGGCGTGTCTGATGCTGGTTCAGAGACGTGAACGCTCTACAAACGTATCGCATTCGAGCAATCAAAGCAACACCGCACCGTGCTTACTACGGACGTTAGCATATACTAAATTTTTGAACCGGACTTCGCTAAACTTTATGATACAGGCGTAGAAATATTTTGTCAAGTATTTGGTAGGCATAAACATTTTTGTGTCGACTGGGTTTTTGCTGATCAAGTTCTTTCAGGCTTCTACAAAATGCGGTTAGTTGAATCGTATTACTTGACTTTCAAAATTTGATTAAGCACACTCATAGACATAATGTCATACTAGACGTAGTCGACGTCGAGTCGAGTCCTTGGATACATGAAACAGTAGGAATGTGGATAGACGTTCCCGATCTTGTGCTGCGACTGTTGCGCGACAAATTCATCAAACCAGCGGCTGCCATACATTCTGCGGAACATGCATTCCTAAATCAGTTCCCTCTGGCGTCAGATATTCGAACGGAATGCAAAGCCGAAGAAAAGGAATATTTAAAGAAGGAATCTCGCCGAAAACGGCCAGCGAGGTTGATTATGTATGATCCAGTAGGGCACGGAAGTGGTGTTGCAGCGAAAGCCTTTGAGCACGGTACGCAGATGCTAGTGGATAAAATGCAATCACTGAAAATACTGGCAGCGTTTGATACATTGAACAAGGCCCTGGTTGCTGTCGAAAGCTGTACATGCGAACGCGGGTGTGTTAAGTGTAAGTTCACCCAGCTGTTGTCATTCATGCTAAGTTGACTTTCTTTTAAAAGGCAT